ATCAGGATGTCTGCCCTAGAGGCAGGCTGAGGCATATGGGAGGAAAGTTGGTATTATTATCATATGGTTCTCATAACCAGCTATAAAAAAAAAAACATATAATTTCACAATGCCTTTTCAGCAGTTCTCATTGTTGGGAAATTCTGAACAACAATGGTGCATCTTTATGTATTGTCAATATAGTCATGATTGTTATGTTGTTTTAAAAACAATTCCTGCTGGAGCGATAGCACAGCGGTAGGGCGTTTGCCTTACACGCAGCCAACATGGCCGACCCGAGTTCGATTCCTCCGCCCCTCTCGGAGAGCCCGGCAACTTACCGAGAGTATTCGATATGCCAGACACAGTAACAACAAAGTCTCCAATGGAGACGTTACTGGGCCCGCTCGAGCAAATCGATGATCAACGGGAGGGCCTTTACCTTATTAATCTTTTAAAATCAACTCATAGATTTGGAAACTAGACTGATTTAATTAGAAAAAGTACAACTATGCTACAAATTGCTCTTCCATTTTGTATGCCAGAGTAGAATATGCTCTTCCCCTACCAGTGACCAGGGAAAACTAATGAAAATGCTCTTTAAAATGCTGTTTTTGTTCCCATTTCTTCCTTCCTTCCTTCCTTCCTTCCTTCCTTCCTTCCTTCCTTCCTTCCCTCCCTCCCTCCCTCCCTCCCTCCCTCCCTACCTTCCTTCCTTCCTTCCTTCCTTCCTTCCTTCCTTCCTTCCTTCCTTCCTTCCTTCCTTCCTTCCTACTTTTTTCTTTCTTTCCTTAATAGATTGATGTCAGCACATAAGGTTAGCAATAGGTAAGGTTAACTACCAAGAGAGACAAAGAAAATGCATTAGAGACACTTACGCCATTTTTAACTGCTGAGTTAAAATTCCCTGAGCGATCTTCAAGGAAATTTTGATTTATACAATAATTGCAATAATTGCTTGTGGGTTTTTTAAATGCCACAGGGAAAATGAATCTATCTTATAAATGCAAGAAAATGTTTTTCTTACTTGTTTTTGAAGAGCCTACTTTGTATTTTCCTACTTCTTTATAAGTAGAGTTTGCTTATTTTCTGAATTAAAAATTATAACAGTATTACTTTGATAACAAAGTCATACTCAAAATTCTTCTTTGATAACGGTAGTTGATTAGTTAGAAGTATCAGTACAAGGAGAGAATAAGTTAGGTTTAATTATATGAAAAGTACAAATGCTCCTAATTTTGGATTTTTATTTCTGATAGATATTAGAGAAAGGGAAAGTTATAAAATAAAAAGTTGTACTGGATTTTTATGTTTCATAGACTTTCAGATATTTGCATAGACCATAACATTTTAAATCTTCAGAGAAAAATACAACGACAACATATTCAAGGTAAGAACATCAAGACTGATTAAGATTTCGCTGTCTGCAATAATGGAAGAGCAATTTGAAGCATACATGTAATTTTTCAAATGAAGTCAGTACAGTTTCAAAACTTACTAATAGATTCTATAAGGTTAATATTATTTGGAATTTGAGATCATATGTGCAGTAAAAGTGTCTATATATTTGAAAAGTGGGCTGGCGTGAAAGCACAGCGGGTACGGTGTTTGTCTTGCATACAGATGACCTGGGTTCGATTCTTCCGTTCCTCTTGGAGAGCCCGGCAAGCTACTGAGAGTATCCCTCCCACACAGAAGAGCCTGGCAAGTTCCCTGTGGCATATTCAATATGCCAAAAACAGTAACAACAAGTCTCTCAATGGATATGTTACTGCTGCCCGCTCGAGCAAATAGATGAACAATGGGAGGACAGTGCAGTGCATAAATGAAAAGTAAAGAATCTTGGTAGACCATCTTTTAAGTAAGGCAGGATACAAGATTAGGACTTAAAAGCTTAGAAGGGATGTACAATATAAAGTTCTTGTGTTCTCTAGTAGTACTGTAGCACTGTAGCACTGTCCTCCCATTGTTCATCGGTTTGCTCGAGTGGGCCCAGTAACGTGTTCTCTAGTAAAACAATATAATAAGCTACCCCACTAGCCAACTGGCATGAAATTACTTGTAGACTCATTGAAATAAAAGGTGAATGTTCAGAATGATATGGAGGGTTAAATAAGGAGTTCTTGAGGTCATTCAAGGAGAGGTGAGAAAAAAACTGGCAGGGACAGACAAGCATGATAGGTATAAAAGAAACCAGGAGAATGTTTAAAGCTGAGATTAAATTCTGCAAGATAGCCAGTGAAACAGTTCTGCAGTTAGACTATAGAGGCAGGTTGAAGAAGTAAACAAGTGAAATATTAAAATTTAATTTTTATTATTTGTGCAACAAATACTGTACCATCTTTACCTGAATTATAGACTTTCAATGTGTTTGTGTTCATGATATTTATGTGTAAACTATTTAGATTTCTACATGTTATTAAATGAAAGGAAAGTCTTAATACAATTTTTAAAGGGTTTAAGAGGTTGATAACAGGGTTATATAAGTATTATCATCAGAATTCTACGCTTTGGAATGACCTATGAACCTAATCTCTTAGGGATTAATTAGTTTTAAAGAGTTTTCACTTGATAACGCATCTGCATGATCCTAGATAACTTGTGCGTTATTGATTTTATACCTTGTGGGAGGCAGAAAAAGTAGGGGAAGTAAAAGTTTTATAAAGGGCAGGATTAAAATTTCACATTCTCATTTATCACATGCTCTGAGTTAGAACATACTGGTGGTAAATCTACTTGGAGTGTAAACAAAGAAAAAAGGATGTTTTTGTGATTGTTTTCTTGACTTTGTTCATTTTAAAAGTGCAGTTTCATTTAAAAAAACAAAAACACTGTACTTCAATGGGGCAAGTATCACAAGGCACCTAAAGGGCCAGAGAGCTAATAGAGCTAATACAGGGGTTAAGGCATTTGCCTTGCTTGTGACTCACCCAGTTTGATCCCCGGCACCACATATGGTCCTCTGAGCAGTCAGGAGTCATCCTTGAACACAGATCAAAGAATAAATTTCCAGCAAGAGCCATCAGTAAACCCTATGCACCATTGGTTGAGGCACAACAACCCTCCCAGATAAAAATAATAACACATAAACAATAAAATAAAGTGCATCTGAGGCTTTGGCTCAAGATCTGTCAAATTCTTTTCTCTGGGGACTGGAGTGATAGTACAGTGATAGTACATTTGCCTTGCTCACAGTCAACTGGAGTTTGATTCCCAGAATCTCATATGGTCCCTCGAGCACCAACAGGAGTAATTCCTGAGTGCAAAGCCAGAAGTAACCCCTTTGCATCACTGGTGTGACCCAAAAAGCAAAAAGAAAAAATCCTTTTTTCTGGCCCCAAGATACCACTTTGCTCTCTGCTCTATTTTTAGAATTTTTAGAATTTTAATAATGTTCAAGCTGGACTAAGTCACTTTTATTTACAAAGGAAAGTTAATATATATTCTAGTTTATAATGTAACATTCTTCACAAAGAACCGGCGGAATTTAATTTAATTTTGTTTAATTTAATTTGTTGTATCTTCTGAACAAAACATTAGTTTAGAAGTGCAACTCTACATTTATTAAAATGTATGTTATCATAATAAAATACAAATCACCAACTGGACATTTTCCCAATTAACCGACATGGGCTTAAAAGGGCATATGCACACAATTATTTATTGGTGAATTCAGTGCAGTAGGCAAGCTATGGAATCAACCTAAGTGTCCAGTGACAGATGACTGGATGGACTGTGAAGATGTGGTATAAATACACAGTGGAATACTATGCAGCTGTAAAGAATGATAAAAACAAAACTAACACTGTCCTCCTGTTGTTCATGGATTTGCTCAAGCGAACCCAGTAACGTCTCCATTGTGAGACTTCTTGCTACTGTGTTTGGCATATTGAATACTCTCGGTAGCTTGCCGGGCTCTCCAAGAGGGGCGGAGGAATCGAACCTGGCTTGGTCAGGCTGGCTGCTCGCAAGGCAAACGCCCTACCGCTGTGCTATCACTCCAGTCCTAAGAAATGATAAAATAATAAAATTTATTGCAAAGTGGTTGGAACTGTAAGAGATCATGTTTATTGAAGCAATGTAGAAAAAAGAAATAAAAACAGAACGATCTCACTTACCTGTAATATGTAAAATACTGGATGAAGAAACGTACTACAGTTGAAGGGGGGTGTCTAGATCATCCTGAACCCCAGTGTTTAGAGAGGAGAAGGACAGAGAAGAAAAGAAATCAGGGGGAAGAAGAGAACAAAAGGTATTAGGAAAATAGACATCAGGGCTTCAATTATAATGGTGATTGAGTGAGTGGTACAACTATATATCCGAAATACAGACTCAACACTGAAAACATACGATCTAGGCTACAACCACTGGAACTTTGTAATCTTTCTGTCAATGTGACAGGTTGGGATGGGGTGAGGGGGAATATGGGAACACTGGTGAAGGGAAGTTGACACCAGTGGTGGGATTGGTGTTGAAATATTATATGCCTAAAACTCAACTGTCAATAACTTTGTGAATCACGGTTCTTTAATTAACAATTTTTAAATAAAAAAAAGGAAATATTTATTATTAGAATGATTTCTGGTTCTAAGTTCTCCTTTTCTAGTAATCTGGTAAATTAATATATGTGTGATGAGTGTTCAGCTATTTATTGTAATAGTGTAACCAAAGTTGGGGAGAAAAACTTGAACCTGGGGCTCATTAAAATGTTTATCATAGAAATTAAAAAGGGTGAAACATTAGATGATTGAGTAAAAGAAAGCAAAGGTAATAGAAAAGCGAAATATGGGACAATTAGCAGAAACAAAGGCTGAGACCCAGAGGCAGTTTGAGTGTTGCTGATATTTAATGAGATCATATACTAAACCACTATTTTCAGTGTCTCCTTTTTCTGCACAAAATAGTTATAGGAAGAGAAGAATACCGAGGAGGGAAAATAAGAACCAAGAATGTGCTGAGAGCATGTCCATTTGTTTGCTGTTATTCTGATCAAATATTCTTATTTCCCCTTCAAAGTAACCATGAAAAGAAATTTCACCTCAGTATCTGAATTTATTCTCCTGGGACTGACCAACCGCAGGGATCTGCAGATAATCCTCTTCCTGCTGATTCTGGTCATTTACCTGATCACAATAGCAGGGAACCTTGGCATGATTGTACTCATCCAAATCAACTCCAAACTCCACACTCCCATGTACTTCTTCCTGAGTCACCTCTCCTTTGTGGATCTGTGCTTCTCCACGAATGTCACCCCGAAGATGCTGGAGATTTTCTTATCTAAGAAGAAAACTATTTCCTACCCTGCATGTTTGGTGCAATGTTACCTTTTCATCGCATTGGTCCATGTGGAGATCTATATCCTGGCCGTGATGGCCTTTGATCGGTACATGGCCATCTGCAACCCTCTGCTCTATGGCAGTAAGATGTCCAAGGGGGTATGTACATCACTCATCACAGTGCCTTATGTGTATGGGGCACTGACCGGCCTCATGGAAACCATGTGGACCTATAACCTGGCCTTTTGTGGTCCCAATGAGATTAACCACTTCTACTGTGCAGACCCACCCCTCATCAAGCTGGCTTGTTCGGACACCTACAACAAAGAAACATCCATGTTTGTGGTGGCTGGATGTAATCTTTCCTTTTCTCTCCTCATCATTCTGGTGTCCTACCTTTATATTTTTCCTGCTATCCTGAGGATTCGTTCCTCAGAAAGCAGACGTAAAGCTTTTTCCACCTGTGGCTCCCATCTCACAGCTGTCACTGTATTCTTTGCAACACTTTTCTTCATGTATCTCCGACCCCCCTCAAAGGAGTCGGTGGAGCAGGGGAAAATGGTGGCTGTGTTTTATACCACAGTAATCCCAATGCTGAATCCTATGATTTATAGTCTTAGAAATAAGGACGTGAAAGAAGCACTAACCAAAGAGTTGTTAAGGAAAAAAGTACTTTCTTAAAGAATGGTTTCAGTATACTTTTGGCCCTCAATTTTTTTTTACATACTTGAGATTCTGGATAGAATTGGTGGGAAATATACATATATGTTGTATGGTACAATATTCAACAATGGGAAACACTTCCTTTAAAAAATAGATTTAATTTTTTTTACAACCAGAACAAATAAAACTCATTATCAAGTTCACGTGTTTGCATTCTTTCCAGTTGTTATTGATATTATAAAATTCCTATATAATTGTTGTTTACTTCCAATGCTAGTACACCTCCACCACATTGTAAACAACCCTGTGTTCTGTCGCAAGGTTCTACTCCACCTTCAACACCCTTATAGTCTCAGTTCACTCTTCTGTTGGAACTATGTCAGGATTTGGTTCCACTGGGGATTTCCTATTCCCTTGTTCTGTTTCTCTTCAACCATGTCATCTGACATGTGTCTTTTTCAATCTGACTTAATTCCCATAGCAATTCTACCCAAGTTTCAGTGAACTGCAAGATTTCATCTTTTCTTATCAATGTGTATTACTGCCCGATATGGTGTTGGATTAAATAAGGGTCTCACCACATACAAGGCAAGTGCTCTACCACTGAGCCATGTTCCCAGTCCCTCTAAATATGTATTGAACAGGCTTAAAAGTAACAACAAGCAAGTGGAAACTACAGAAGATTACTAAGTGTATAAGGTAAAAGCTGAAGTAAATCTGGAAGTTGTTCTCATGTTGATAAGCTCCAAGGCAAAGGAGTTGAGGAGATAATGGACCAAGGAGGGGAAGCATGGAGAGATAAATGGGAGAGACAGGAGGAGACAGGAATGAGGGGCAGTGTGAAAATAGAATGGGGGGGGGGCTTGGAGAGACTGGAACAGGTGTGACGGGAGAATGGAATAAACAGCAACTGATCACCAATCAGCTTGGCCCTCATTTCCTCCTTCGTCCACCCATGGCTGAGGGAGTTGCCCGAGACCACCCAACGTGGGTGGTGAGGGGAAGAGCCTCTGGGGCCTTACCTAGCAGCCTAGAGATTAAACAGCTAACTCATTCTAATTTTCTTTTTCATCTATCATCTTTCAGATTATATTCTTATTTATTTTTTCTATAATGAATATATATTGATTGACATCTTTTAATAGAATATTAAAGATTCTTACACCGGTCCTTGCCTCTCCACCACAGAACCACAGATTTTTATGGAGCTAGCTATTTTTAACTTTTTCTGTTTGTACCTCTCTTGCCCAAACTTCCACAGAATCATGAAGCATCTTTTCAAACGGGAAAGATGAGCTACACATTCCACATTTACTCTTGGAGTCACTTTTTCTTATTGAGTTATATATTAATTTGTTTTCTGGATCTTTATGAAGCTATTCAGAAACAGGACCATAGATTACAATGCATAATTTTGTTGATTAATGAACAATATATTACATTACAGAGATTTAGCCAAGACATGAAAGAAAGATCTCTATATTGTATTTGAAAGTGGAGGGGATTTGATAACAAGATATCTAAGTAAATGGTTAAAACAATTTTCAGATATTGGTAAGAGTGATGGAGAGGATAAAATAAGGCAATATGGAAAACAAATGTTTGAAGTATTGTCCCACTGTTCATAGGATAGTATTAGTTTCTAATGCAACGAGGTATGAAATAATTAAAAACAGAGCTTGATTTGAGATAGTATACTAATTCCAATTATAACGTCTCTCTGTGAGACTATTTTCCTCTGAGGTTACACTTTTAATTGGTTCTTGAAACATTTAGGGATTCGCCTGTGATTCAAGCTGATGTCAATAACTTGGTTATAAATCCTTCAGCGATGTCTAGAACTTGGCCTTTGGGGTCATTAAGAAGACACTCTTATTTCTGAGGTAGGAGAAGTGAGTTTGCATATTAGTTTACAATATTAAAGAAATAGTTCTCTGCTACCTTAATTTTTTATGTAAGATGATGTGATAATGAAATATGGAGCTTTAGAGGAATTATGCACAGATGATGTATTTTCCATGAAGAGAAATCTATACTTACTCAGTAATTTCTCTTTTATACTCCCAGTGTTTCTTAATCATCCTGGTAGAATAACATAAGATTGCAGCAGAGATTTCACTATAATTAGTTTCAAATAATATTATATTTTGTATTTTCTTTTTGTTAATTTTTTTTCTGTTTGCTATATTACTATCTACAGCTGGAAAACAAAATTTAGGAATTGGAAATAATTTAAATATATATTCATTATGTTAATGGTTCAAAACACTCCTGACCTTTAATAAGTGAAATACATGTTCATAGTTAACTTCCCCTGTGACCACCAAACTAAGAAAAATTTAGTTTAGTATATTGAACTTAAGGGTATAGATTGCGATATCTTTAAACCCTTTTGAATCTCTTAGTGATAGAATTCTAGATTATTTTCCAGTATCATGTTTCTGTCTAGGATGTGGATTTTACATGCCATAATTTAGCTGCAAGGAAAGTTTTTTTTTGGGGGGGGGGATTTTATTCTTCTTTTGTTTTTTTTTCAACTAGGAAACTGAAATATGTGTCTCTGATAATAATCAAAGAAGTTAGATATGGATTTTACACCAATATATAAATAAAGGGAGTAATTTTCCCCTTTCTTTGCCGGTTTGTACATGTAGACTCATTCTGAAAGCTGACTGCATCATCTAAACAGTCATGTGTTCATGACATCTTTTTTATGATACTTGCCTCTGACAGAGATCTACAATTCTGGACTTAATACAGTATTTGTAATTCCATGTTCCACAAAATCATCTCATATTAAATGATCAACAAGGCATGGGAAAAGTTGTAAATTTCGTTGGAGACAAAGTTTATTACCTAGATTGAGTACCAGGGAAGTTTTTGATTGGTGGAATTACATTCAGTGCCCTGGTGACAGTACCCAGGCACTTGATTAGACTCTTGCCTAAATTTCTTCCCACTTTGATGTGTTGGGCATTAATCCCTCCACCAATTGCATTTCTTCTTCCCCTTGCTCTGCCACTTCTGTTAGAATATCTTTGTTCCTATCATCTGCACCTAAAAAAAAAGCCCTAGTTTAAGATCCTATGTCATTCATATATGCTTCTTTTGGTAGTCCATAGAACAATATTGAAACATATTAAAGAGGTATGATTTTGAACAAATTACATTTTAACATTTTTATCAACACTTTTTTTCCCCTCAAGTCCATTTAACTGAGAGGAAGTGATGGAGGTGTTTTATGTTGCAGGAAAGGGTGCTCTCTTCTGTGATTCCTCTGCTGGTGTTTCCTGCTCTGAGCTGCAAGCAGGAGTTAATTTTTCTGAGATAATCTTTCTTGTTTGATATCTTAGTTCTCTCATTCAGTACCATGTCTACAAATGCCAGATTACCAACAAAAACTTGCTATAAATAGGTAAACATAAAGAAACAAATTTGTACGCTGTATCATTTTATCACTGTCATCCTGTTGTTCATCTATTTCCTCGAGGAGGTATCCAGTAACTCCTCCTTCAGCCTAGCCCTGAGATTTTAGAAAGTGCCACATTCGAGGCTCTTTCAGGGTCAGGAGAATGAGGCCCATCATTATTACTGGTTTTTGGCATGTTGAATACACCACGGGGAGTTTGCCAGACTCTGCTGTGTGGGCAGGATACTTTTGGTTAGCCTGCCAGGTTCTCCAGAGTAAGAACTAGATAATAAGATGTTGCTTCCGGGAGCTGGGTTTTGTAGTCTCTGGGTTTTGGCTGAAGATGGGATTACCCGGCACCCAGGGCAGTTGGTGGGTGTAACACCTACATACTGGAAGATGGGGGATCTGGGTGGAGGAGGCCCAGTCCCAATCTGAGCAGGCTTGGAGATCTACGCCCCGGGTCCCGCACACCTGGGTTCCTCTGCCGGTTCCTTCATGCATGACGCTTGTCCGAACGTATGGAGAGTGGTCTTAAGCATGGCTGTGGCTGGAACCACAGGTCTTCAGCTGCCGGGGCTCTGCTCAGGGTGGGGAGGGAAACTCAACCCATCCTCCTCCAATGGGAACCGGTGAGGACAGCCAGGCGTGGAGGCAGGAGACTGTGCTGTAAAATCCTGTTTCTACACAGGACTTTACAAAGAGACTCAAGGTGCCTTTTAGATTATAAACTTTCACACTCAAAAGTACAACTATTGAAAGATCCTATGATATGTGGTAAAGAATAAATTTTGAACTCAGGAGATTCAAATTACCACCTATGTTTCTTGATTGTGAAAAGGAATGATAAGACTATTTCATGTTTCTTGTTGGGATAAATAATGCTTGTGAAGTACTTTTTTTTCTTTTTGGGTCACACGTGGCAAAGCGCGGGGGTTACTCCTGGCTTTGCACTCAGGAATTACACCCGGCAGTGCTCGGGGGACCATATGGAATGCTGGGAATTGAACCCGGGTTGACCGCATGCAAGACAAACACCCTACCCATTGTACTATCCTCCAGTCCCTTGTGAAGTACTTAAATACATTCATGTAATATAAAAATCCCACAAACATTCCTGTTATTGTTATCTTTCAGGTAACACATTAAGCAGTTCTGTTACTTTCACTTATATTCTTAGAACTCCTGAAAGATAGTGTTACAAGTTACCTTAAACTTAGATGGAGGGGATGAGGACTTTCATATAACTTATGACAAGTTCTCTGATAATGACATTTGATCATTTGACAATATCAGAATTGCCAATGGAAACAATATTTATATGTAAAATTTATCTTATGCAAGTTTCCTCCATATAAAACTTTGTAATTAAAAGTTAGAAATATATGAACATAATTTTATTTTAGCATGATGTATTTAATTTTTATAAATGTAGTAAAATATATGCAATTTATATTAATTATGTACTATGTAGCTTATTTCTTTCTCCTTTGTCAGAAGTGGGATTCGAGCCCACGCCTCCAGGGTAGACTGCAACCTGAACGCAGCACCTTAGACCGCTCGGTCATCCTGTGCTGGAGCGATAGCACAGCGGTAGGGCATTTACCTTGCACGCAGCCAACATGGCCGACCTGAGTTCGATTCCTCCACCCCTCTCGGAGAGCCCGGCAAGCTACCGAGAGTATCTCGCCCACACGGCAGAGCCTGGCAAGCTACCCGTGATGTATTCGATATGCCAAACACAGTAACAACAAAGTCTCACAATGGAGACGTTACTGGACCCACTTGAGAAAATCGATGAACAACGGGAGGATAGGTTAGGATGTAATATGTAAAATTAAAGTCAAAATTAGACTATCAGTTTTAATTTTGGGGAAGGATGTTTGGTCCACATCTGGTCATGTTGTAAGCCCTGAGCATGGGGCTCTGGTGATCTTATGATACTGGGAACTGAATCTGGGTCAGCCTTGTGCTATCAGACAACAAGCATAAAATATTTTAGTAAAGATGCAGTTAATTATTTGTCTATTTAAGTGATAAATTGTGTCAACTGTAATTTTTGAAAGTATTTGTTTTACTTGTTATATCTTTTATATAAAATTATATTTATCATATATTGTTTCTCATATGTCTAGATCCTTGTGTTAATTTCTTGTTCTGTTACATTAGCAATTTTTTCCCAATTTTATGTGAATATCACTGTCTTAGGAAATCCAGTTTTATAGTAAGGTCTGATACCTGGTGAGAAATTTCCTGCTTGCTATTCTGAAATGTATTAATTCCTTACAAAACTTTAATTTTTGCTAAAATATTTAGATGATTTTATCTACAAAATTCTTAGTAGGATTTTTATTCAAATGTAATTTTCTCTAGGTCATCTTGGGATATTTGTACCTTTCTAAATTTAGTCTTCTCCTGATTAAAAAAATCTACTTTAACTCTTTCAACAGGACAAAATGATTTTACACATAAACATCTTATATTTCTTGTGTTAGACATTTGTTTGTGCCATATCCTTTCTGCTACCCTTACACGTCTTTTAAAAACCACTTTTCAAAGTACTTAGAAAAAATAAAATTAAAGTTTACACATTAGCTTCGAAGTAAACCATTTTGCTATATACCCATTTTTTTCTAACAATATGTGCTTTATCTTTCATTTAGAAATCTCTAGATAGTGGCGAGTGCTGAATGCTTTTAAAGAGTTACTCTGGAATAATAAAGGAAAAATGGAGATCGAAAACAACTAACTGACATAACTCTGGGAAAGCAATTAAAGAGTTTCTGAACATGTTAGGAGAATAGCTTGAAGGCAGAGTTGAATCTGAATTTCAGAGGGCACAGACAAAAGACAGAGGTTAGCAATGAGATCAGGAAATGAGAAACTTTAGGAGATTAGTGTTAGAGGAGATTTGGAGTAAAATGGGAGACAGGGCTTTCTGATTGATTAAGTAAAAATAAGAACTGAGGATTTGAGATGTTATAAGACCTTGAAGATTCAGTGTGTATCTTGACTTTTATTGAGAAATTTGGAAACTTCTTAGGAGGTTAGCTTAAGGACATACATTATTTACTAGCTCCTTTAACTAGTCTATTTTCTTTTTAAAATATAAATATTTTAGACTAAACTTGCTTTTTCATATATATATATATATATATATATATATATATATTGCTTGATTCTTTCTCTGGAAAGAATAAAAAAGTTTGATTCTTTATTTGGAAAGAGTTGAAAAAATGATTTTTTTACAACATCATGTACTGATAAATTGGTCATTCTAACAATTATTGTTTGTATTTAAAGTTATATTCATAGTTATATTTATAGTTATAATGTATAAAAATATATATTAACTTTATAGTAATATTTAAAGTTATATTTATAATTAAATAGTTATATTTAAAGTTTTATTCATAGTTATATAGTTATGTTTATAGTTATAAAAGCTTCTTTTATTTCAGATATTTAGAAAGGGAGATGTCATTGTCCTTTTTCCTTACATATACTTATGAGAACTTAATTCTAGTCTGCTTGTTCATTTTTATTTGAACATATTTTTACTTTCTGTTGAAATTTTGATTGGGAAGAAGCAATCGATAGACATTTACTGAATACATAGACATATCTGACACAATAAAATATTTTATCTTTAAAGTTTACATGCTTTATATTTGTGTATCACTTACTATCATTCTAACTACTCATCCACATGTCTCAATAAACCTAAATTTGTATGAAATTAATATTAAATCAGATATGATCACTGAGTTTATTGCATAGATAAATCAGGAGTTAATAACAGGAAATCTAATAACAGGAAACCTTCAAATATTTTCAAAAGTATTTAAATCCTTAGTGTCTATGTATCAGGATTAATCTAGGTAAGGTAAAGGTAAAGGCCCTCCTGTTGATCATCGATTTGCTCGAGCGGGCCCAGTAACGTCTCCATTGGAGACTTTGTTGTTACTGTGTCTGGCATATCAAATACTCTCGGTAGCTTGCCAGGCTCTCCGAGAGGGGCGGAGGAACCGAACTCGGGTCGGCCATGTTGGCCGCTTGTAAGGCGAACGCCCTACCCGCTGTGCTATCGCTCCAGCCCAGAAAAAAATTATAAAGGCCCTCCTGTTGATCGTCGATTTGCTCGAGCGGGCCCAGTAACGTCTCCATTGGAGACTTTGTTGTTACTGTGTCTGGAATATCGAATACTCTCGGTAGCTTGCCGGGCTCTCCAAGAGGGGCGGAGGAATCGAACTCAGGTCGGCCATGTTGGCCGTGTGTAAGGCGAACACCGTACCCGCTGTGCTATAAGGTAATAGAAATGGTTCTGGTATAAACGTGTTTCATATAACAACATTAATTAGAAGGCAAACTGTTTAGGTACAAATATGGGGGCTCTGTATAGAATTTGTAGCATTAAAATTGTAAAGAATTTAATAAAGCCACAAAAAATGATATCTGAGGACAAATGACAATAAGTAATCTAAAATCATAGTATTATTGAAAGAACATAAATGCACTCTTTCAAACTAGTAAACCGATTGACTAAATTGTGGTATGAAAATATAACTATATTCTATGAATACTACATACATTAAACAAATAGAAATATGTTTGGGGGTACTAGACAATGTGTCGAACTTGTTTAGGTATCAGCAGATCAGCAAACTGCAAAATAAAAAATGTGTGTCTGACAGTTCTTTCCTTTCCTTGGCATTCAGGATTTTAGGAACTAGGAACCAGGATGAAGAACTGTGCTTATGTTACCTTGAAAGTTTGCTCTAGTAGTCCGTATAAATCTGAATTTACATGAACTGCTACAAAGACATTATGAAAACTTTAAAAATTTTGAATTTAATTATCTATTTAATTGTTTAATATTTTATTAGTGCATAAAATAATATATTATTTTTTATATTTTAAACTTTATTTGGGGGATATGGGGTCTTCAAGTAGTGCTCATAAGGCTAGGAGACCCTCCAGACAATTCTTAATCAATGGGGCAGTTCAATGCTAGGGACTTGAGAATTCAGTGCTGAAGGGTCCTTTGGTGTCATGAATTTTATGGGCTACCCTGGTGGTGCTTGGGGTCCTTTAAGACTACCATGAGGTATCAGGGACCTAACTGGGCCCAGCTGCATGCCAGCATGTATCTTAGTCCCTGTATGACTTAGTCCCTGTATATCTCTATGACCTCACATTTCTTCTTTACTATTTCTTCTTTTTTCCTTAGCATTTTATCTGAATGCTTTTATTTAGATGTTTTTAATTTCTCAAATATTAGGGATTCTTTAATTTGTAATTTGTCTCTAATCTCAACTCAATGGCACTGTGAAGTTTTTTAAAATTATTATCTATATAACTAAATGAAAAAAAAAACCTTTATTGAAATGAGGTTTTATAATGTAATGGTGAACATGGAAAAACTTGTGTTGGAAATCTTTGAGATTGCTCTATGCTACATAGATTTATTAAGTAATTATAACGATGCTTCTAAATTAACACAACAAAAGCCTTTGGACTTTTAAAAAATTAACTTTTATGTGATCTCTAGGCCAGTACAACGTAACCAACGTTTCAGCGATATCAACGTTTCTTTTTTTTTGCCTTTAGATACTTGAATCAATGGCCCACAAACGAGACTGAGAAATGTTCAGAAGAAACTACACTGAGGTGACAGAATTCATCCTCTTAGGCCTCACCAGCCGTCCAGAACTGCGAGTGATTTTCTTTGTGTTGTTCCTGGTGGTCTACATCGTTACTGTGATAGGAAATCTGGGCATGATCGTTTTAATCAAGATCGATTCCCGACTTCACACGCCCATGTACTTTTTCCTCGCGAGTTTGTCTGTGCTTGATCTCTGTTTCTCCACCAATGTCACTCCCAAAATGCTGGAGAATTTCTTGTCCGAGAAGAAGACCATCTCCTACGCAGGTTGTTTGGTGCAGTGTTACATTGTCATCGCCGTGGTGCTCACTGAGCACTGCATGCTGGCCGTCATGGCCTATGACCGCTACATGGCCATCTGCAATCCTCTGCTCTACAGCAGTAAGATGTCTAAGGGTGTCTGTGTCCGCCTAGTCATCATCCCTTATGTTTATGGCTTCCTCCTTAGTGTCATGGAAACCTTGAGGACCTACAATCTTTCTTTCTGCGGTGCCAATGAGATTAACCACTTCTACTGTGCTGACCCCCCTCTGATCAAACTGGCCTGCTCTGACACCTACAGCAAGGAGTTGTCCATGTATATCGTGGCCGGCTACAGCAACGTCCAATCCCTCCTTATCATCCTCACCTCCTATATGTTCATCCTGGTCGCAATCCTCAAGAGCCGTTCTGCAGAGGGGAGGAGAAAGGCTTTCTCCACCTGCGGCTCCCACTTGACCGTGGTCACCATCTTCTACGGACCCTTTTTTGCATGCATCTGAGACGCCCCACTGAGGAGTCTGTAGAGCAGGGGAAAATGGTGGCTGTGTTTTACACCACCGTCATCCCTATGCTGAACCCCATGATCTATGGACTCCGGAATAAGGATGTGAAAGAGGCGTTGAGAAAAGCATTATGGAAACAAAAAGCAGGGGACTAAAAGGGCTAAACTGCTATTAGGATTTATGCTAGAGCTAGTAAAAAAAATAATATTATTGGGTGATCATCTTAGATTTTTTTTTTTGGTCAAACCCGGCAATGCACAGGGGTTACTCCGGGCTCATGCACTCAGGAATTACTTCTGGCGTTACTTGGAGAACCATATGGGATGTTGGGAATTGAACCATGGTTGGCCGAGGGCAAGGCAAATGCCCTACCTGCTGTGCTATCACTCCAACCCCTCATCTTAGAAGTTTTGCACATACATTTCTATTTAAGTAGATAAATAGATTTCAACTCCTAGAAGCAATGTTTGGAAAGGGAAGAATAGAATTTTCATTTTATCCATCTACCCAGGCTGGTGGAGTTTCTGAAAAACATTGTGTCTTAAACAAATATGAAGTTTTCTTGGTATGTTCTTCTCTCAGACAAAGGAGGTCTAGGGGTTAACAGTCTCTGACATGTATGCAATTTTATTTAGTTTGGGATTTGTTTTATTTTGATCATGTTGACTTACGAACTTGAGCCTTTGATGATGCAAATGACTGCTAAGAAGCCAGCCCACATCAGATATTTCTGCTTAGTTGGTGAGAAAATCCACATTTATTTGTTTTTAAAATTATTATTATTAATTTCCATAATTTACACAATTTACATAATGACATAGAAGGGGGCATTTGTGCATATATTTTTGCTTTTAGATGATAAAAGATGATATTCTAACATATTCTGAGAATGAGTAACTCTATTTCTTTTCAGACTTTATATTCCTTAATACTAGTTCCACCCATTTTATTTCCCCCATGAGTCCACGCAGTCACTGACTTTAACCCAGACTCCCATCCTGTTCAGGATATCGTGTGTTTTACTTTTGCGAAATACTAACATCATCATCTTTAAATCCTATGTTTTTCTGAGTTCCTAAACTATGACATCAGACATTAATTTCCAAGTAAGAATCCCTTTATTAGTGATATTTTAAATAATCTATATGGGTAAGAATTATAGGTAGTTATATTCTCTGTTGATCTAAATATAAGCATAACTTATTTACATGCTTAATCCTTTAATAGAATTTCTCTTGATCCTTTATAATGATATCTAAAATGTGTTTTCAAGCAATCAGAGTTCTCTCTCTCTCTCTCTCTCTTTCTCTTTCTCTCTCCCTCTCTCTCTCTCTGGATTACACCACATTGCTCAGGAGTTACTCCTGGCTCTCCACTCAGGTATTAGTCATGATAGTGCTTGGGGGACCATATGGGATGCTGGGCATTGAATCCAGGTCGGCCACATGCAAGGCGAATGCCCTCCCTGCTGTACTATATCACTCTGGCCTCTGGAGTCAGAAGTTCTAAAGGTACAAATCTTCACTATAGAAAGAAAATGACTAACATGGTTTTTACATTGTGAAAGTTGCTAGAAATATAGTAGATCCTAGAAAAATAAGACAGCTTCCACAATTTTTTTCTTCTGACCTCTTCTTCTATTAATCATTACTTTTTACTATTATTCAGAATTATTTACAATTTCAGAAGTATAATTTAACTCTCCTGTATGTATATAACATTAAAAGCATCATCATCAAAATTCCTATGCCATTCAATCACCAAAGGAATCCTCTATATATCCAAACCCTTTTTCCTTTTAATAGAACTACAGTTTTTAAAGAAACTAGGAGTGAATAATAGTTTTGCTTTGCCACTTTATATTATTTTAGTTATTTATTATGGAGTGATAGCACAGCAGCAAGGTATTTGCCTTGCATGTGGCCGGCCCTGCTGACCAAGTTTGATTCCTTGTCCCCTCTTGGAGAGCCTGGCAAACTACCGAGAGTATCTCACCCGAGAGTATATAACCTGAATGTATCTCGCCTGCACACCAAAGCCTGGCAAGCTCCCCGTGACTTATTTCATATGCCAAACATAGTAACAACAACTTTTACAATGGAGATGTTACTGGGCCTGCTCGAGCAAATCGATGAACAATGGAAGGACAGTGCTACAGTACTTATATAGCACATCTGAGTGAAAAAATCCACTTACTGTCTTGTTCTTCCTACCTTCCATTTTTTAAATATAATGCAATCATTCTATTCCTTTTATTTCAAATGGCAAAATTTCATCTTTTATAATGGCATATACACACACACTCACACTCACATATGTGCATTTTGGAAAATATATATTCCAATGAGTACTGTACCACAGCTCTTTTAGTCATCTATCAAAGACTTTTTTAAGTTGAGTATTGTGAATAATGCATAATTTTACAGATGTGACAAAATTTATTCTTTTGGGATTGGCCAGTCTTCAGATGCTCCAAATTCTCTTTTCATTGAATTCCTCATAGTTTTCATAATCACTAGGTTAGGGAATATCAGTATGATCACTTTAACCTGCATCAGTACCCCGACTTCTGAATACCTATATACTTTATCAAGAGTCATTTATCTTTTGTGGTTGTCTGATTCTCTTCCATTGTCACCCCAAAATGCTGGAAAACTTATTATCGAAGACAAAATCCATTTCCTATGTTAGATATTTACTTTTTAATCAGTTTTACTTTTCTATCACAATTGACCATGTGGAGTTGCATGTGTTGACAGTAGTGACCTATGATCAGTACATGGCCATTTATAATCTTTTGCTCTCTGGAAACAAAATGTCCAGGACTACCTATATATGGTTCATTTATGTGCCTTATGTCTATGGATTCTTTTCACCTAATATGGACATCATGAGCATATGGCTTGTATTTCTGTAGAAAATTTGAAACCAACCACTTCTGTTCTGCAGACCTTCCTCTCATTAAGAGTACCTGTGTATGTGTGTGTGTGGGGGGGTCCGCATCAAAGAATATACAATGATGTTATTGCTGGAATTAATTTTATGTACTCAGTGGTCCTTCTCTCCTACACCCTTATAGTAGTGGCTTTACTACCTGTGAGGTTTTCCACTGGGGAGGAAGAAGGCCTTTTCCCCCGGGGGACTCACAAGACAGCAATTACCATATTTTATGGCACTCTCATCTTCAAGTGTCTCTGGTGAGTCACTAAGTAGTCTGTGGAGCAGGGGAAGGTGGCAGCTCTACTTTATACCTCCTATGCTGAATTATATCTGAACGGCGCCCCAGAATTTTCAAAATTCTGGGGTGCCCTTCAGTCATTCCTATGCTGAATCCCATGAAACAAAGATGTGAAAGAGGCAGTCCAGGAAGCAATCATCACAGTGATCTTGGGGAAATGAACAAACAATAGAGGTTTCTGTGGTGCACTGCTATCTAGTTCACCTATACAAGTGTGAAAGTTCTAATCAGAAAGAACTTCATATATAAATTTAGCAGTTACATGTGCCCAAAAGATGTTACATGGGAATGTTTTCCCCATGAGTGGATTCAAATTATGAACCCTGTTTTTCTCTCTCTATGTGTAGTGTTTCCTTCAACATTTTCTCACAACTCCTCTTCTTCTTCTTCTTCTTCTTCTTCTTCTTCTTCTTCTTCTTCTTCTTCTTCTTCTTCTTCTTCTTCTCCTCCTCCTCCTCCTCCTCCTCCTCCTCCTCCTCCTCCTCCTCCTCCTCCTCCTCCTCCTCCTCCTCCTCCTCCTCCTCCTCCTCCTCCTCCTCCTCCTTCTCCTCCTCCTCTAAGACTCCCAGGTTCTGGTGTTATGATTCTTCCTTGTCATTTCCTAGTTTCCTATGTATCTGGCCTACTGAACCTTACTAAATTCATGTTAACCTTATACTTCTGAACCTTACTAAACTCATATTAACTTTATACTTCTGAGTCCTTATGATTGATTCTTACACTGGTTCTTGTATGGGGTCTATGGTATCATATAGGTGAATAAAGGGAAGAGATATTTTTGGTTTTCTGCCCTTCCCCTTTTTAATCAAATCTCAGTGAGACATACAGTTATAAGGTTGTTCATGTTTGGGTTTTAGTCATACAATTTTCCAACATCCAACACCCATTCCCTTTGTTAGTGTACATTTTCTACCACCATTGTCCCCAGTTTCCCTCCCAGCCCCCAAACTCCAACCCCAACCTACCTCTATGACAGGCACTTCTCTCTCTCTTATTCTCTCTCTTTCTTATTCTATCTATCTCCCTCTCTCTCTCTCTCACTCTTTTTAGGTATGGTGGTTTGCAATACAGGTACTGAAAGGATATCATGTATATTATTTTATCTTCTCTCAGCACTCTGTTCTTCTGAGGCAGAATAATTTCCAACTCTCTTTGTCATAGTGATACCATCTTTGTCCTAACTTTATTCAGCCTGCCTGGCCACCCTCCCAATCCCTTACTTGAGGGCCAGGATGATTGGCCTATGTTTGGAAAGAATGGCGTTTAATATAACTAGGAGACGTTACTGGTGGCCGCTCAAGCAAATTGATGAACAACGGGAGGACAGTACAGTGACAGTGCTTCAAATTAATTCTACTTCTCAATATTGGGGTAAACAGAGAGATAGTACAGGGGTTAAGACTTGCCTTGCACTTGACCAACCATGGCACATTGTATGATCCTAAGAACCATCAAAAATAATCCCTGAGCATAGAGCGAGGAGTAGACCCTGAGCTCTGCTGAGTAAGGCTCCAAAACATAGAAACCAACAAAAAGCTAAGCATAGAGAGATTTACAAGCTCAGTA